TTCTTTTCTTGCTGATCCGAAAAATGATCCGATCCGTGGGTCAAAAACCGTAATGTGATCCGAACTGTGAGATTTGTGATCCGTTGAACCACTAGTAGATGTATGTTGATTTTATCAGACGATGCCGCGATTATAAATGAGTGACTCCTGGTTAACATGTATTAAAAGGGGTCGTGTTTAGTCACTATTTAGTGTGGTATTTTTTGACAATATTCACTCATCATGACAGTAAAATAGGGCATTCTAAGTCAATATACTGCAGTATTTCCTCTCTCAATCAGTAGAAAATATGGTTAACACCCGGTCATGCATGAAAAAAAAATACCGTCATGTACCGTGAAGCCGGTATAATTTAGAAAAATACCGTGATATACATTTTTGGTCAAACCGCCCACCACTAATCAAAATACACATATGTATTATACTAGTAGTTAAAATAAGATTTATTGCAATCCCTTTTCGCGCCAACTGAACATGGATTTCAGATACAGTCATTGTGAGTGATATTGTTGAGGGCGTGTGATGAGTTTGCTAATAAAACTTAAAGGTTAACCAGCTAACCGTGCTCTACTTGAACACAACGCGTTTAATTAAGCTAATCATAAACCAGCACTATAAAGACAGAAGCCGCGTCAGAAGAACATGAGGAACGTTTTTGCAAACAGAGAAACCATCATGATCAACGAATCTCTTGCATTGTAAAACTTCGGCCCTGTCAGTGTGGGACAAATGAGTGCGGACGCGTCGCGGAGCTTAGCGGCACCAGCTGACCCGAGCAACACAGCTGACCCACCGATTACTAGCTCACTGCGCAAGCGAGCTGACTTACAAACACAACACCGGCACTACTTAGGCTTCGTTTAAAAGGCAGACGATTATGTTAAGGTTCTTATATTCCAGCGGTATTATACATGCTTCTTCTTTTTTAGCGTCGCGCGTATTTCTTACCTGTAGGTGCCATTTTCCACTCAGTCAGAACACCGCGTGTGTGAACGATTCAAAGAACCTTTGCTAGCTCACGCTTCCTGCTCCGGTCACATGACCCTCTGTGGAGCCCGCGATTGGTTGAAGACTTCTGCAACCGCAGGGAAGACTGAGTACAGTAGAGACACTTTCTGCTTTTTTCATCACTACACAAAAACTAGATGCAGAAATGAAGTGATTTTTCACATTATATTTATTTTGCTTTTGTACTAATATATCACAAATGTATAATAGCCATAAGTAGGTTTATATTTTCCACAATTAGCTCATAAACATAAGTTGTATTTTTTTCCATATTTTTGACCATGGACCACAAAACCAGTCATAAGGGTCTTTTTTTTTTTTATTGAGTTTTATACATCATCTGAAAGCTGAATAAATTTTGTGGCTATTGCTACAGATATACCTGTGCGACTTAAGCCTGCTTTTGTGGTCAAGGGTCACATATAGTGTACAGTTGAAACAGTACCATGGTACAGTTGAGACACCCATTCTTAATGCATGCAAACACACACACACACACACACACACACACACTTCTAACATTATAGGGACATTCCATAAGCGTAGTGGTTTTTATACTGTACAGACAGTATATTTTATCCCCCTACATACCTGTATATTCTATAACCCTATCCCTGGCTAAACCTACCCATCACTCGAAACTTTCTGCATTTTTACATTCTCAATCATTCTGTATGATTTATAAGCTTGTTTCCTCATGGGGACCTAAAAAATTGTTCCCGTACGGTTAGAATTTACTGGTAGGCCTATTACTATTCTTGTGGGGACATTGGTCCCCATTACATAAAATAACAGTACACACACACACACACACACACACACACACAGCCTCTGAATATACATTTTATTTTCTATGATTGAACTATTATAAAGGGTGTATCAACTGTACCCACTTTACCACCTTGTATATTTCACAAAATGTTATGTTATCCTTTTAACATTCATGTTAGAAAATATGTCCATTAACAATAGACAAATATCATTTTTTTTAAAGCATAATTTTGGGTAGCATGTGTAAATGTGACTTTTAACCTTCTAGCATGTGACGCAATAGGACACCAATCCGGGTACAGTTGATACACTGCGTACGTACCCCACTGACATACTCATTTCTCTAGATTATGCAAAGACCTTGCATAGCACAATGTCATAAAATAGGTCTATTCTTAGAGAACAGAGTAACGTTTGCAATGATTTATGTTAAGTTTAACAATCATAAAAGGATAATAAGCTATTCATTGTGGAAGGGACATGGTGAAATGAAAATCTTACCTTGGAAAATTAAACATAATTTTGGGTAGCATGTGTAAATGTGACTTTTAACCTTCTAGCATGTGACGCAATAGGACACCAATCCTGGTACAGTTGATACACTGCGTACGTACCCCACTGACATACACATTTCTCTAGATTATGCAAAGACCTTGCATAGCACAATGTCATAAAATAGGTCTATTCTTAGAGAACAGAGTAACGTTTGCAATGATTTATGTTAAGTTTAACAATCATAAAAGGATAATAAGCTATTCATTGTGGAAGGGACATGGTGAAATGAAAATCTTACCTTGGAAAAAAAAAAAACTTTTGCCAATATCTTCGGAGTGGAAAGACGCACACCTTTCAAATCTCCCACAATCAAAGAGAACGCTAATACGCATGTGTGGAGCAAAAATCACGGCTCGGGGGTCCTGTGCACGCAAGTTATTTAAGGTGTTTCAACTGTACACATGTCCCAAATGTCTGTCTGTCTTTGGTGGGCGATCGTTTTAGTCATCAGTTCACCGCCCTAAATATGAGGGTGTTACTTGGAGAAAATTGCAATTGTAAACTTTATTGTAAAAAGGCCAAATCTAGTTGCAGACTTCCATAAAAGCATTAACTGGCGAGAAATCATATAGTGTACATGAAGACCTGAATGACTGAGACGTCTCTGTGAAGCTTTGAAACAATATTCTGAAAAGTGCTATAAATAACACATAAGTTATGAATTGATTTGACCACGTATATAGTCTTTGCTATAACACTGTAACTCTGGGGGTCTGGTGCCATCTGCTAGCAAAGTGAGAAGTTATTATTTTCAATTAATCATTTGGAAACTCAGATCAGGGGCCAGTTGCATAAACTCAGCCTCTCTGTTAAGACAGCGTCTTTAAGTTTGAGTCTGACCAACTAACAGTTAGCCAAGAGTTAGTCAGCCTTATTTGTTGGATTCAACTTTGACTAATCTACGTTTTTATGTAACCGAATTAAAAAATATATATATATGATCAGCCTTAAAGAAAAAAACAGATGACTAACTTGACTAGTCTAAGCCTTTTAACAGGCCCCTGATGTCAGGAAAAGAATTCATTACCAGTACACTGACATTTGGTATGGGTCAGTAATTATACATGTTTTGTTTCTCACATTATTTGACAGGGTTTGTGTGTGAGAGATGTAACAACAGCAAGGTCAGTGTGGCCTTGACTGATGCCATTAAACACTGCCCCAAAAGTAGCTGTTCATAACTGTTCTTCTGCTAAGTTAACAGACCACCAAATCTGACCTGACAGCTCCACATAAGGTAAAATAAATGAACACAGTTTGATCATATTATATTTGTATGTAGTTGCTCAGTAATTCAATTGCATTCATTTTGAACATTTTTGTAGCTATAAGTGTAGCTTTAACATTTTAAAATGTGTATTCATGTTTAAAAATGTCTTAAAATTCAGTAGCCTCAAGAATGGAGTACGTACGATAGCCTACTTTTTTTTTATCGATTCTGAAGCTTGGAGATTAAGAAAAATTGAAAGATAATGAAAATGTCGTGTTCCAAGGTAAACAAAATAAAACTAAATGATAAAGTAATTCATAAATTACTTTCATTTCAGCATTTCATTCTCTGAAATGAGTTCAATCCACCACATTGTGATAAGTGATAAAAGTAGAGATCCAAAATGTTCATTGCAGTGCTACATCAGTATTGGGGATTTTGGTATGTGTCTTTGAATGATCTGTCATACATGCCTTCCTGCTCAGATGCCTCCTAATCTGCATAACAGACAGTAAATAAGGACATTTTATTAGAATATTTAAATGCCCTGAATCAACAACATAACATTGTCACTGCTCTGCTCGCTGAGTAACTTTTATAGCTTGAATAAAGATTAATTTATATTCAATTAGTTTATGCGTATACAATTTATAGTTTATGTAAATATTGCTTTAAGTTCACTTAAATTAAAAGTTGTTGTTATATTTTTCAAAGCCTATTAAATGTTATACTGTAATGTTGAATGGCTATAATCAATAGCAAAAATTTAGGGGGAAATGCATTTAATAGAGACATCAGTAGCAGTATTGGCATTAGTATCAATGATACTGGCCTTCATTAATAATATAGGCTACTCAGTAAAAAGATGCCAATAAACACAGATTTAAAATCTTTGTCGCTTCTACATTAATAATACGGAGATTCAATGTGAAATTATGACAATAAAAATATATTGTATTTATAGGTTTATTATATAAATATTATATAAATTAATTTATTATATTAATATAATTAATCGCAATTAATTATCGGAAAAATGTGCGATTAATTAGTTATTTTTTTTAATCGATTGATAGCACTAATTTAAAACTGACACTGGTCACATTGTTTTCTATTTAATCATTTATTTTCAATTTATTCAGTTTCCACAACATTCACAAATGGGTTTAAAACAGTTCTGTTGTGGCCGTGACCAAAAATACTCTCTTAGAGAAGCGATGGCTACCTTGATGGTAGGTTGACTTTATTAACCTATCATTTAAAACCAGTTTGAGGACATGGAAAAGAAAATCTTTTTAACTTTGCCCATTAAATTTCATAAAAGTTTGCTATTTTTTTTCTACACGTTTTCACTGCAGAGATTCATAACGTCATTCAAATAAACCATTAAAACCATGAATTTAAGTCAGTGAGTGAAATCATTGTTGTATAGTATTCAAAATGCATAAACATTTGGAAGAATTTGAAACAACTGCTTTTGGCTGAAAAATGATTTAATTTATTTTTTGAAAATATGTTTTTTTTTTCTATGCCACTGTATAAAAGCAGCAGTGTTCTGTGGAAGTGGGGTCAACCAGCGGTGGACGACGGGGCTCATCAAGTAATCTGGATGGACGCTTCAATGAGCTCAAACGGAAAGCGGCAGGTTCTCATCACATTGGCTTTCATTCATTCATCTGTTCATGACAAACTGCACATCATCCAATGCATGGGGCTTGAATGATGGAAAACATTACGAAAAATAAAAACTGATGTTGGTAAAGAGGGGGGAAGCTATTTACAGAGTCCCTATGTGGCATGTCTGTCATTAAAAGCACCACTGAAAGAGAAACTTGCATTGGTTTAACATCAGATTCCCTCCTTTCTCAAGCAGAGCCGGGCCGCTCTGTCATATCACAGGCTGGATTGATGATTTTGAGATGTAACTCTACTCTGCTTTCTTGGACTTCCTCTTGCGGGTAACTTCACTCAGTTCCTCCTTGGTTTTGGCGGGCGAGAGGGGCGCAGAGGCAGCGGCTGGTGCGGAGTGGTGGTGATCATGGGCATCTTCAATACCAAGGGGCGAACCGAATAGCAGGTGGCACAGCCAGGACTCGATGAGGGCGAAGGGTGATCCGTGAGAGTGACGGGCCGTCATAAACACCTGTATAAGGAATAGTAAATGTTCTTGAATAATGAAGTTGGAAATGTCTCAGCTATTACCTTTTCTGAATAGTTAAGTGATGATTGCCTGTGCAAAAAGTCAAAGCCATAATGGGTATTGGGAATGGTTGCCAGGGCATTGCTATTCAGTTGCTAATGACCAAAGTATACTTTACACGTACGTTAGGGTATGATTATGGTCTGAGAGAGGTAGATTTCATCATCAGCATAGTACGCACATAATACAATGTACACAGAGTTTACACATGCACCTTGAGTTATTTTTGCACTAGTTTGTCCACAAGGTGGCAGCACTTCCAAGGCTCATTGTTTCAGAGTCAAACAATAAACCGATGAGATGGAATAACAACAAAGTAC